GGAAGATCATTTAAGGATATTTGAAAAAGGTCACCCATTGATTTAATTAATTTTTTTAACGTACCAGCGTATTTAGCATTGAAATCAACTTATTAGATCAAAAATTAAATTTATTGTTTATTGTAGTAGTTTTTTTTGGTAAGTTAGGGGCCCAATGTTACATGACTCTGGCTTCGAAATGGCTTTTACGACATCAAAACAACAACAGCAACAACAGCGACAACAACAGCAACAACAACAACAACAACAGCAGCAACAACAACATAACAACTTCATAACAACATTTTACTCTCTCTCCCTCTCTAACCCTTCCCCACAGAACTTCTACGAACTTTCGATAGCAGAGTTTCAGCACGGTGGTTCAAACATAACAGGCTTCGACATCGTTCACTACAACAGCACAACCAACACGAACAACAACTACAACTACTACAACCAGATCATCAACAGCATTAACAGCAACAATTTCAACAACAACAACAATCAAAATTTCAATTTCAACAATCGAAATTTCAAGTACAGCCATCACAACAACATTGATGATAAATTTATAAAATCAATTCGGACTCGAGGTTCCCGATACAACTTCCCAACAACTACTATTACAACTTCCAGCAACAGTAACGATGACGACGATGAGGATGAAGATGACGACGACGACGATGATGACGGTGATGGAAATGATGAAAGTTCGAAACAGAAGATAGATGTTAGTCGATTGTATTGAACATTTTTAGGCGTTATGACTGACTGGTTGGTATATGTATATTATATATATATATGTGTGTGTGTGTGCCTGCATATGTTAATAAATGTTTCGCTATGTACTTTTTTATATTTTTATTTTCATTCATTTATTTTTCTTCATTCATTTGATTGCTGCTCACTTCTTCCACCGCTCCCATCTGCATTTATACTGATACATCAGGCTCGTTCTCATGTTTATGACAGTTTTTGTTTAAAAATGAATTCAAAATAAGAATGTATGGCGAGATGTTTTGGACAAAATTTCAAAATGTAATTTATTCAAAAAAAAAGAACAACAAAAAAAGATCAGGTTAGTGAAAAATGTAAAAGGGATGAAGACAAAGAGATAAAGAGAAGAAGGAAGAGAGAGAAGATGGAAAGACAGCTTGTAAAAGAGTAAGAGGATGACAGAGAGACTGTAAAAGAGAGAGAGAAAGTAAAGAGAAAAAAAGAAAGAGACAGAAAAATTGAGAGAGAGAGAGAGAAAGTAACAGAAAAAGAGAGAACACCATAGCAAACAATTCGCTTGAACTTCCTGCAGAGTGGAGAAGAGCGACTGAGGCACGGTGTTTTCCAGTTATAATGACGTCATAGATTATTTATAAACAAACTGCTCATGATGACGTCTACATGTGCACTTCACTGTTGAGGCTACCTACCAATGTTCGTACGTTGAATGTGCCTACGTGCCAATGTACTAGTGACGGTCTTTTAATAGGCCTGCGGTGAACTATGTACACATGCGCACAAGTACACACACATGCACATACATACTTTTTAATATAGATGTGTACATTCATTCATTCCTTCCTTCATTCATTCATTTATTCATTCATTCATTTATTCATTCATTCATTCATTCATTCATTCATTCATTCATTCATTCGTTCGTTCGTTCATTCGTTCATTCATTCATTCATTCATTCATTCGTTCACTCATTCATTCATTCTTTTATATTACAGTCGTAATAAAAGCTCTATATTACAGCTTTCTACATCTCATTCAAAACAGACTAGCTAAACTTGTTCTAGAATGACCTCGTTAGTTTTCCAGTTCATCGTCTCTTGTTCACCTGCACTGGCTGCCGATTCATCAACGCATGAAATATAAAATTGCTTTCATCACAAACAAAACATCCAACACATCCAGATTTGGACGTGTATCAACACGCACAGATACACATACGCCCAAACAGACGTACACATACACATCCTCACGAATATTTGCATATAATGTCATTTGTCGGTTTTATTAGTTAGTTAATTAGTTTGTTTTATTTAAATTAAAACTTCATATTATATATTGATACATACAGTATCGAATCAACAGCAAAATTATCAGTGGAAGCTGGCAGTAAAAAATTTGGCGTGAGATGATGTTATGATTAATACGTGATGCAGTGACAGAGTTCGTCGAACGAGGGAAAATCTCCGCCTAGCACATGAGTATAAAGATTGCAAAAAATATTCAATGTGCCTACTATCTTATAGAACGATGATTGTGTGTGTGTGCGCGCGCGCGCGTGTGTATATTCATGTGTGTGTGTATATATATTCGTGTATGTGTGTGTGTGTGAGTATGCATGTGTGTTTTTATACACCTGATAATTGTTTATTGTATTATTAGTTGAGAATATATAAAAATAGTTGTGGTATTAACATACAACAAAAGTTTTAATAAGTATTAGTAATAGTAGTACGTAGATAAGCAATACCAATAGTAGCAATGATAGTACATTTAATGATAATTATAACTATAATACTAATCCATGTGTTGGCGGTTAAGTGTCAATAATGATTCGTTATTAACAATGTAAGAACCATCTTACGGTCGTCATGTTTGTGCATTTTTTTTTGTTCTTGTGTTTGTTTGTAGGATTGATACCTCTGAATATACAAACACAAATATACCCGCATATACATAGATGTGATATTAACATATATGTATGTATGTCTACATACAGACATACATACAAACACACACAAACATATACACACATATAATCTGAAATACAAATTTTATTAACTCTCTTGCTTTTATCAGTAGCTTTATTTTTATAGTTCTTCTATGTGACTTCCCTGGGCATCCGGGTATTCTGACTTAGATATTTTACAAAATACACACCTAGACACACATATACACGAACACATATACACGAACGTACGTGTACGCATACGTAAACAAACATACGCACATACACCTATAAACTGGTAAACATATATATACATTCATCATGTATCATGTTTTGTTTTTATGAGTAGTGTGTACACAATTTATGCGTACGTATGAAAATGTGTAAGGTTGATTGTACATGTAGCAATTGTTATCATCATTAAATTCTTAAAATTTATCATTATCATATATTCATTATCATTATTTTCTCATTATCATCATCACTTCATCACCGTCATCATCTTCTTCACATCCATCATCATCATCATTATCATCACCTTCCTCTTCTTCATCGTCCTCATCTTCACATCTTCATCATTATCTTCATCATCATCCACTTCATCATCATCCCAGCTAAACACAGCCTTAACAATAGACTCAGTGACAGCCATAGTGCAGGGTCTGACGAGGGCCATGGAAAGGGACAGAGACCCCTTCCAGGAAAACCGGAAACAGATGATGATTACGTCATCCTCTTCCTGTCGCGCCGGAAACAACTGGGCCTGGTCAAAAGGGGAGAAAATCGTGAAAAGTTTTTTTGAGGTTTGATACATTTAAATTGATATATTTAGTTCATCCATTTTTATCCTATTTTGTATCTAAACTGCCTATATACGAAAGAAATCATGGAACTGATTAACTAATTAATAGCAATTTAAAGAGAACAAATGACCAGCAATAATAATAATTATTACGCTAGCAAGATAAATTAGAATAATCGCTTAAAGACCATGACGTAATAATGGTGATGTTGTTTTCTTTATAGCAGCATCATCAAAGGTAGCGAATATACCCTAACCATGATGATGACAAATACTGATAAAAATTAATCAGTAAGCCAACAAATTATGTTGGGAAAATAATGAAAATGACAAAAAAATACAAAACAAAAATTAGAATAGTTAATAAAATAATAAAATAAAATTAACAAAAATTTGACAAAAAAAATCTTTGAAGAGATGGAAGCACTGAATTAAATTGTTAATAAAACCATCAACATCATTAAACATAATCATCACCATAATCATCATCATTGCTGATTGCAATAATCACCAAAACTACTATCACTATCATCATCGTTGTCATCATCATCATTGTCAAGGTCAACTTCACTGGCCTCACCGGTCAGGTGACCTTCAACGAATGGGGTTATAGGGAGAACTTCAGCATCAACATCATCGAACAGCGTCTTGATAATGATCCTGTTAAGGTAGCATCATTTATAATTATTATTATTATCATAATTATAACTATAATTTTATTGTTACCATTATCACTATTACTATCACCATCTTTTTCATTATTTTTTCGTAATATCTTGGATAATCAATTTTTATTTAAAGCAATTTATAAAAAACCAACTGTCTGCTACGCAAACTCAAAAAAACAAACCATTACCAATAAAGAAGTAATAGTAAAGATAAGGATTTTACGAATGAATATTCAAAAAAATAATGATAAACGTCAAACCAAACGAGTTGGTTATGAATTTTTGATCTAATTTGTTACATTGAATAATATGTGAATACACAAACAAAAAATATTATATTATAACTTTAATATTATAATAATTATAGTTGAAATTATTGACAAAAATCTCTACAATTCTGAATTAATTTGATTATTAGGTTTACACATTCTCAAAAAACCTGAAACCGCACATTCCCGTAAAAAAATAGATTGGCGGGAAATTGGCAGCTAAATTTCATTCTCAACCGACCGGACCCTCAAAAAAATTTATTTGTTTCAAAACGTTCCCGCCATTGTTTTTTTTTCTTAATTTTTCATTTTTAAATTATTTTTATAAGATACGAATTTAAAAATATTAAACTTGTATCACTGTTAAAAATACTCAAACGTTTGTATCTTGAGAATGGCCTGCAGTAAAGATTACAGTGACGACGATTTTGAAGTACTGCCCCCCAACGACTTTGTGGTTGATGCTGCTGCTGCTGCTGCTGCTGCTGATAATGATGATGATGATGAAAAAGAAAATTGCTCTGAAAATGTTAAAAGACGGTTAAAAGAAGGCAAACTGTTTTCTGAGTTTCGCCAAAAACTGACGGCACGTCAAAACCAAATGTTAGACGGGGTATTTGATAGAAATTTCAAAGACCAACGTCTGGCTAAAGTTGAGGAACTGACGGAGGCTCGTAAAGAAAAAATGGTTAAAAAAGTGAAACAGAGCCACAGGGATTTAGATGATATGGTGAAAAAAATGGAAGAATTGACGAAAAAGTTACAAATGATTATAGAGGCGCAGGCTGATGAAATTAATTATAAACTTAAAAACTCGAAATACAGTGACGACGATTTTGAAGTATTACCCCTTGATGCGGATGATGTTGAAAATGAAGTTCCTAATTTTATGGCTCCGGTCTCTGATAATGCTGCTTTTGGTGCTAGGAAAAAAAATTTTACTGATACGAAGGCCTCCTGTGCTGATGTCGAAGAAGAAAGTTTTGAGATAATATCTCGCTCTGAGGTTGAAAAAGATTGTCCTGAAATTGAGGAGCTCACCATGGAGGCAATAAAGAAAGAACTGGCTGATATACCTCAGGCTGAGATTGGTAAAAAAATGAAAACTCGCGCCAAACATGTTAAAAAACAGACCTTAGATACAAAATTTATTGAGGAAAGATTGAGAACCTTAGAAAAACAACTTGAAGAAAATGAAAAAAAAATTGCCAAAAAAAGTGTAAGGAAAGAAAAATCTCGGAAAAAACATGATAGTAGTAGCGACAGCTTTGAATTTATCAGAGACGACGAAATTGAGGAGGCGAAAGCGAAACATTAACATCAACATCACAACAACAACATCGCAACAACATTGCAGCAACAACATCACAACATATAGATTACAACAACATCACGAAAACATCAACACACAACAACAAACCAACTTTTCGTTAAATTTTTTGACGTTTTTCTATTCATTCGCGTTATTTTAAGATGTACCTATTATTCATTCATTCACTAAGTAACAGTGAATTGGTTTTAAAATGTTAACTCAGTTAATTTGACTGTTTCTATGTAACCCAAGTTTATAAATTTGAACATTTTACAGACGATAATGTTTTTTCCAGTTATTTATTCGAATAAATATTATTAATTATCGTCGGTTTAGTTTTGTTTTCATTGCAAAGCAAGCAGTGGTGCAATATTAGCAAGGGCATTAATTCAAAATACCGGTTTAGTAAAATAAAATGGATATTCTTAAATGAGCCAAACAACACTTGGGCTTTGAATTTTTGTTTGGAATTAATAATATAATAGAATTAAATTATAATAATTATAATATGATGATGTTATCAGCATTATCGATCTTAAAATAATTAAATTTTGATAGGTTATAGTTAATTATAATGATGGAAGAATGGTAAAATGATAATATCAGAGCGTTTCTTCGCCCATTCCTTATTTAAGAGAGGGCACACTCCTTCAAAATAGAAATCGCGGGAAATTCGCAATAAAACTCGATTCTGAGCCGGCAACAACATTCAATTATTCAGATGATAAAAAAAACTCACGCTACAGCTTTCAAATTTAAAATAATTTCAAATTTACAAAAAATAAAAACTGTATTTAAATTAATACACTTGTGATAATTTATCTTATAATTAATTAATTAATTAATTAATAAACTTTTAAAATTAATACTTAAACGTTTCTTGCGTGAGAATGGCCTGCAGTAAGGATCACAGTGACGATGATTTTGAAAAATTGCCTCCGGATGCCGATGATAAAAAAAAAGCTTCTAATGATGACGATGATATAGAAAAGGATTTTGAAGTAATAACTCGTACAGAAGCTAGAAAGGTGAAAAAACTCTGTCCCGAACACGATTTTGAGGTGATTGATATTAAGAAAGAATTCCCTGCTGCTAATGTACAATCTGCCGCTGGGGCTAGTGGCAAGGAAAAAAATCGCGCCGAAAGTCAGACTGCAAATGTTAAAAAACCGCCTGGCAAACCGGATTGCAAACTGTATGCTGAATTCCGCAAAAGACTGACACTCCGTCAGAAGCAAGTCTTAGATGAGACGACACAACATCATTCAGGCGGTGCTCAGCGCCTGTCCGAAGTTGAGAAACTAATGAAGAATCGCAGGAAGCAAGTCAAACAGGGCTCTTCAGGCTCTTCGGCAAATGAAAATGCAAATAAAACAGAAAAATTAGAGAAAAAACAGGACGGTGCATCGGCATATGATGATGACGATGATATCGAAAAAGAATGGGAGATGATAGAATTAACGTATAATGGTTTGATAAAAGATATCGCAAAAAAATGTCACAAGGATAACGTTGGCGCTTCTGATGCTGCTGCAGCTGCTGCTTCTGCTGCTGACGACCTTGAAGTCGATCAGGAATATGAGATGCTCGAAGATTAGGAAATTGAAGAGGCAAAACGTAATTAAAACAGCACAACAACAACAACACACCATCTCAACAACAACAAACTCGCAACTTATCATTGAGTATTTTCGAAGTTTTCTGTCACTTACTTGTAACGTGACAATCTGTTTATTAAAAGTTACTAGTTAGTTTGATATTGGCTCTGAAGTTTATAACACCGGTCTTTAAATGTTCCACTGAAACGTCAGTTAACTGCAAATTCAGTTAGCTTGGTTCTTTCTATTGATTGATTCTACAACCATTGGTTTATTGATTTGTACATTTTCAGACTATTGTGGTTACTATTCATTCTTATAAGTGTTATTAATTAACATTTGTCTATTTTTTTTTCATTTTGCCGCAGTTGCATTTTTTTTAGTAATACCTAAATTCATTCACACAAACACACCACACACACACACACATACATACATACATTCATTCATACACACACACATACACATATACATACATGCATACATACATTTATACACACATATCATGGTTGAGTTTTGTTTGCTAATTTATTTTTTGGTCAAATTTGTTATTATGCGATTGTTAAATTTTCAGTAACCAAATTATTACGTTTAAATTTGAATGTTAAAAATTGTTATTTTGTGTTTGTTTGTGTGTTTGCGTTTGTGTATGTGTGTGTGGGGGGGAGTGTGTTTGTGTGTCTGTGTTTGTCTCTATAGTATGTTTGTAGCAAGTTGAAAACAGTTTATAAAATAAACATTTATAAAAAAAAAAAAAAAAAACATTGTAAATACTTTTCTATCTATCCAATCCTTCGAACAATATTATTTTTATCTTTAATAACCACGACATGTCTCAATGATATCTTTTTTACGGTTATTTGGAATTTCAAAGAATTAATGAATTTATTATTTAATTTATTTATTAATTAATTAACTATTTATGAATTGATTTTATTTCGTTTCTAAACACCTTTTTTTATTTATTAGAAATGAATAAACAAAACATTTAACCCGTAAAAGTTTACCAGACCTGCCATATGTTATGTTTATATTCACGTAATTACTTTTATTATTAGCATGTTTTGTAAAAGATCAAAAATACTCGAGAAAAAAAAACCTAAATCCATTCAACGTAATTGTTTTTCATAGTGAAACTACTTGATGAAAAAAATTATGTGGTTTCATCAACATTATTAGCAGCATTCATTTTTAGTATTAAAGAGATAACTGCTTAGTGCCACACACATATTATTATTCTTTTAAGAAACACGATCTCAAAGCAATTTTAAATTCGTTATAGACTAATAAAATTTTCCGAAATCGAATGAAAAAATCTGACTTTAGCCATTCAAAAAAAATTCCAACTCCGACTCAAACCTGCTACTACAGTCTGATGTCACACACAAACCTTGGTGTGATTATTTGCCTCGTTTGAGGATATATGGGTGGGTAATAAACAAGTTGGGTAAAGAACAATGAATAAACATTCTTCTTCATTTGTCAGAACTGTTCAACGAAGTAGAAAAATTAATAAACGGGCTACTAAACTAAGGTCTGTCAATTCTTAGAGTACTAAGTTACATTAAGTTAAGTATGCTATCATTGTTTCAATATATCAATGTATCAAAACATCATAGTCTACAAAATATCAATATAAAAAATGTCACACACAATTTATATTTGAATTCTCTCTCTTTCTTTCTCTCTTCATTATCTCTTTTCTCTCTCTCTCTCTCTCTCTCTCTCTCTCTCTGTATTACTGTTATAATTATTATTTTAATATAGTTATTATATTATTCCTTGAACTGCTGAAGATAGGAACATGGCATTCGAGGGATGGGCTGACGTTTGATGAATCCTCCGGCTACACAAACAACTCCGAACTGATGGCCAACCGGACTAGAATCATCACCTCCATACCGGTTGTTCATTCAATCGATCTATTATTCATTCATTCATTAAATCATTCACTCATTCAATCAATCAATCAAACCAACTAATTGCAAATCAAACGATCTATTCTATCTTCAGTATCGTCGTAAATTTGCAACACACTTGAACAAAAATATTGCAGTATAGTAACAACAATAATCAATACAACCAATACACTTAATAATTCGTTCTTCTTTTATTTATTCTTTCATTCATTCATCATTTATTTATTCATTTGTTCATTCATTCGTTCATTTGTTTATTCATTCATTTACTCATTCATTCATTCATTTTGTTCATTTGTTCTTATTTCCTTTTCATCAAAACAGTCTCAGCCATACTTGTTCATCAAGAAGAAGGGTGATGCTAATGGTGTTGGAGCTGAATATGAAGGTGGTTGGATATTTGTGTGTGTGTGTGTGTGTCTGTGAGTGTGTGTCTGTGTCTTTGTGTATGAGTGAGTGTTTGTGTGGGTGTGTCAATGTGGATATAATGTTGATGTGTGCTTCTTCTATGTGTGTGTGTGTGTGTGGTGTGTGTGGTGTTTGTGTGGTTTGTGTGTATGTGTATTTATACGTGTATGGGTTTGTTTGTGTAAGTGTGTGTTTGCAAGTAATTTAATTAGATGGGACACCTATTGAGCGACTTTACGACATTACGTTCATATTGTTTTTCTTTTTTTTTTGTATGTCTATGAGCTTATCTGTTTGTGTGCTAATGCTTGTCTGTCTGTGTGTATTTCTGGTAGTTTTTTTTCTATACTTGTTTGTTTTTAAATGTTTGTTTGTACATTTGGGTATGTTTGTGTTTGTTTTTATATTTGTTTGCTGTAACAATACAAAAACATGTGTATAGGTTTGATCAAAAGTGTGTAAGCCAAATTTTGGCTTGAAATTTTTGTGTAAAATATAATTTTTGAAAGGTTGCCAGTATTTCTTTATCACCGTAGGTATAATTTTGTATATTTGTGTATCTATAAACATTTGTGTAAAATCCATGTGTATGAATGTATCTGTATATGTATGTGTGTTTGTGTGCATTTTTATGTTTGTGTATGTGTGTCTGTGTATGTAGTGTGTATTTACACACATACATGCATGTATGTGTTAGTGTCGTTCGCTAGAGAGTTCTCCCATTATTTAATTAAAATCGATCGATGTTTGAACATTATCAATTTTCTTAATTCTTCTAAGTGTGTATATTTGTATGTGTGTGTTTGTTTTTGTGTTCGTGTTCGTGTGTGTGCGCGCGAGCGCGCGTGTGTGTGTGTGGTGTGTGTGTGTGCCATTGCATATACAAAAATATATGTCAAATACTAGTAAATTTCAGCGACAATCTTTCTTCCAAACGATTCAACAATTCGCAATTCGGATATTTCGATATTCGGACATTCGATATTCGATATTTCGATATTCGGATATTTCGGATATTCGGATATATATGATAATTATTTCTGTTACAGATGAAATTTAATAACGCGCGAATTAAATTAAAAGAAAGAGTGTATGCCTCTACACATTATATATTATTCAGAATCAATTGAGAATGAAAATTACAAAAAAAATATTTCAGAGATAGAGAGAGGTAGAGAGAGAGAGAGAGAGAGAGAGAGAAAAAAAGAGAGAAAATTAGGTAAGAATAAAATATAAAACTCTCTGGCGTACAACCGCTGCGTAATTATAACATCAAAGGTTTGATGTGAAACTATAATTGAATTATAAAGAATAATTTGGAAAAAAATTCGTTTTCTAGTTTCTACGAACTCTTTTGGGAAGGATAATCATTCTTATCTGGTGATAATCATCGTCATTTTCATCATCGCCATTCTTCATCTTGACAGTTTTGTTGTCATTTTCTTTAATACCATCATCGTCGTCTTTACAAATTTTTATCACAGCTTGTTCATTGCTTAATCATCATCATCTTCATTCTCCCCCTCATCATCATCATCATCATTATTATTATTTTTATTATTATTATTATTATCACCAACAGGTTATTGCGTTGATTTAGCCCGCGAAATAGCGAAAGAGGTGAAATTCCAGTACGAGATCCGCCTGGTGGCAGACGGGAAGTACGGGGAGAAAATGGTGAATGGTACATGGAATGGGATGGTGGGAGAGCTGACCAGGAAAGTGAGTCCTCATGATGATGATGTTGTTGTTGTTTTGTTGTTGTTGTTGTTGCTGTTGTTGTTGTCGTTGTTATTGTCGTTGTTGTTGTCGTTGTTGTTGTTGTTGTTGTCGTGGTTGTTGTTTTTGTCGTTGTTGTTGTCGTCGTCGTCGTCGTCGTCGTTGTTGTTGTTGTTGTTGTTGTTGTTGTTGTTGTTGTTGTTGTTGTTGTTGTTGTTGTTGTTGTTGTTGTTAGTGATGATAATGAAAAACCGTCGATGATGAAGCTGATGATGTTTCATTTGACAATGCTGATGATGAGGCATCTTGTTAATGACGACGACGATGATGATGACCGCAGCAGATGATGCATGATTTTAAAGATAATTAACTGAGTGATTAACCCAAAGTGAATGTCATCCAAACATCATTTTTTCTCAGATTAAAGTTGAAACAATTTATTTGACCGAACATTTAAGGAAAGACTAATTTATAAAATCTTAGACAAAAACAGACACAAACATACACATACACACATATATATATATACATCCACACAGACACAACCACAAAAACACTTACAAACTCACACACACAAACACATATACGCAATCTCGCACACACACAAAAACACATTCAAACTCGCACACATACACATACACACAATTTCTCACACACACAAACACGTACTCACACACAAACACACACACAAACGTACACACACAAGGAAGCAGACATAGCTGTAGCTCCACTAACAATCACCTCAATAAGAGAACGAGTTATCGACTTCAGCAAGCCATTCATGAACCTCGGAATAAGTATCATGATCAAGAAACCAGAAAAACAAAAACCTGGTTAGTTGATTGACTGATTGGTTAATTGGTCAGTTTGTGGATAAGTTGGGTGATTAATTGGTTGATTTATTGATTGATTGGTTGGTTGATTAATTAATTGATTGGTTGGTTGATTAATTGATTGACCGACCGACCAACCAACCGAACGACCGACCGACCGACTGACTGACTACTCCAGCAACTACTACTACTACTTCTACCACCACTACTACAACTGCTACTATTACTACTACTAATACTACTACTACTACAGCTACTGCAGTAACTACTAACGCTACTACCACAACCTACAAACAACACATTCCAGCTAACAAAGTCGCATAAACAAAATTACTGTAGGACAGTGACACCTTCTAGCCCAACATAAACTCTCCTTCTTTAGGACACCACTTATGCAATTATGTTTACACACGCACACACCAACACACTCCAATACACTCATAAATAAATACATACATACAAACAAACATACATACACACATACATACACACGCACACACATACACACACATACATACATTTTTATTTTGTCTGGAATATCAACAGTGATTTGAAAGAAAATTTTGTTCATTGTTGTTGCAGAATATAAAACTACTTTGGCTGTCGCTGAAACGGCTTCGACAGTGCAGCTGCTGCATCGTGCTAAAGACCTGTATCTACCACTGCATTTTCTCCATAGACTTCGTTTGTGTGCTCGATTAAGACATGTCTAAAACAAGATTTCAGAGAAGTCAATCAATTACGGAACCTGCATCTGTAAAGGATGATAACATTTTATGTTGTGCATGTGATGCGGTGGTTCAAATTGAGCCTTCGGACTTATATGATGAATTGGTGAAATATGCTAGCAAAAGTAAAAACATGAAGTTTTATTGTGATAATTGCGTGAAACATGCTGATGGTTTCAAAGGTCTTTTGCAGATGCTTAACGAAAAATTTGAATCCATTGATTCTCGTCTTAAAACGTTTGATTCCATTGATATTGGGATGAAAAATCTGCAGTTGAGGCTTGAGTCAAGCGATGAGAACCTAAAACAGTTAGAAAAACTAGACGAGAAACTTAACCAGTCTATTAATTCCTTGAAAAACGATATCACCAAGTCTTGGTCAGACGTGGTAAAGAGTAATTCTAAAATTGTTGATAACGAGGCTGTTTCTTTGAGAAATATGATCAGTACTTCATTTTCCGATGTGGTAAAAAAGGACCTCGACGTAGTTAGTAAAGAGGTCATCTCTGTTCGCAGAAAAATTGAAGTGGCAAATGAAGTTAAGGCCCGTGAGAACAACATAGTTCTCTTTAATTTCAGCGAAGACTTGGATGTTGCTAAAGATAGGGGCAATGTTCTTGGCTTTTTAAGGTCTCTAACAGACGAGTCTCTGAAAGATGATGACATATTGAAAATATTCAGACAAGGTAAACAGCCAAGCGTATCGTCTCCCCCGCGTCCAGTGATTGTTAAGTTTATCAACCTTTCTGCAAAAGTCCTGGTTATGAGAAGATTATTCAGATTAGCGCTGCTGGATAAAAAAATGAGAGAAGTGAGGATTAGTGATGACCTTACAACGGACCAGCGTCTGCAGCTTAAAAAATTGGTTCTTGAGGCAAAAAGGCGGGAATCTAAAAATGGTCATTTTTTATATCGGGTCAGAGGTGTGGTCGGGCAATGGAGAATAGTGAGATATCCTGGGGGTGTTAGCAAGAAAAGGTTCGTTGATGCTATGTTGAAAAAACAGTCATTGCTCTCAGAAAAAAGGAAAGCCTACTGGAGAAACATGATTGAAATAAATGGCTCCAATCCAAAGAAACTCCGGATGACAATTAACAGGGTTTTATGCAAGATGAATTCTGTTGATTTGCTTAATATGTCAGATGAGTTAAATTCTGATGATTTTGCTCAATTTTTTAAAGATATGGTTGACAACATACTAGAGATGATGCCTTGTATCAAAGAGCCTATTGTTTCAAACAATCGGATGAGTGAATGTGCTGAACTTTCATTATTTCAGTGCTGTTCCAGTGATGAGATTCGTCAAGTTATTTTGGATTCATCTACAAAGTCGTGCCCACTGGATGATTTGCCAACTAAAATACTTAAAAAATACGTTCATCTGTTTCTCCCGTTTTTGACTGTTTTTGTAAATGCATGTTTAACTTATGGGCATTTCCAGATGGCTTTTGAATATTTAATTGTTGTTCCGATGTTAAAAAAGCAGACACTAGACAAGAATAGTTTATCAAGTTATAGACCGGTGTCAAATCTAACATTTTTGTCAAAAGTTATTGAACGAATTCTCCACAAACAGCTAATTTGTCATTTAAATCATAATGATCTGCTACCAAAATGTCAGTCAGGATTTAAAAAATTCCATTCAACTGAGACAGCACTGATTGTTTGCTGCTATTGATGATCAAAATATCTCAATCTTGGCATTACTTGATATTAGTGCAGCCTTTGATTGTGTTAATCACGAGATTTTACTTGGAAAGCTACGTCAATGTTTTGGAATCTCAGGTGTTGTTCTTATTTGGTTCGAATCATATCTCTCTGCGCGAAAACAACAGGCATTACGCAGAGATGTTTTATCATCTGTTCAGGAAGTAAAGCATGGTGTACCACAAGGTTCAGTACTTGGACCGCTGCTGTTTTTACTATACACTGCTGACGTTTTCGACATCATTGATTCATTCAGGTTCAAGCATCATGGGTTTGCAGATGACATACAAATCATCGTCAGTGGTCCAGCTACTTCATTTCAAGCTCTTGTTGAAAGATTCGGTCGGTGCATGGAGGCGATTGATTCTTGGATGATCAAGCACAAACTCAAATTGAACAATGCAGAACCCAGTTATTGCCAATTGGTACGTGGCAGCAAATAAACAAATTAAATTTCACTTTGATTGAGATTAACAACAGTAAGATTGAATTATGTCAAGTTGCTCGTAATCTTGGTGTTGTATTCGATAATAATATGACAATGGAGTGCCACATAAAGTCGCTAACTGGTGAATGTCATCGACAACTTCGCATGATGAGGGCTATAAAAAATTCACTTAATGAGATTACCCTAAAGAGTTTGGCTCACGCGTTTATTCACTCGAGGCTGGACTATTGCAACAGCCTTTTTTACGGTGTCTCCATGTTGGAAATTTCCAAACTGCAGTCAATTCAAAATTGCATGGCCAAGCTAGTTGTCGGAGGTTTTAGATCTGATCATGTGACGCCGATTTTACAGGATCTGCACTGGCTTCCGATTGAAAAGAGAATTATCCACAAGATTGCTGTTTTGATGTTCAAAGTTTTAAATGGGCGTGCTCCTCCGTACTTGGTCGGTAGATTGACTAAACGTGATTCAACGTCTGGTTATCCAAGATTGAGATCCAATAATAGGAATTTGCTAGACGTTCCTCAAACCCGTTTGGTGACTGGTAAAAAAAATTTTGCTGTTGCTGGACCGATGGTGTGGAATAATTTGCCAACCTCACTCCGTCTACCTGGAATATCATTTCCTCTATTTTGTAAACAATTAAAGTTGCTGCTTTTAAGCAGCATTTCGGTTTTTGTAATTAAATGTGATTATGAAAATAAAAATTTTTTTTTGTTTTTTTTGTTTTTTTTTGTTTTTTATGTTTTTTATTAGTCGGTACGGTACTATCATTATGTTGTTTTAATTCTTGTGTCGGTTAATAACTCGTTGTAAGGCTTGTTGATTATTGCGTTGAATTTTTGTACATAACTAGTAACTTGTGTGGATAAATCCTAAAAATCGTCATTTGAATTAGTATTACTTCTTTTTGGTCATCTATTTATTTATTGATTTTGTGTTAAATATATGTGTGTTCTGACATTTAACTGAGTGACAATCAACTTTATTTCTTTTGTCTTATTTATTTTTTCTTGCAC